CGCACGCATCATACTTTATTTTCCTAACGACAAGAAAAAGGTGATCGACCTGCTCAGTCGCGCGGGGTATGACAAGGTCAAGGTAGCCAAAAGGATGGGGGGCTTGGACGATATCAAGAGGCTGCGCAAGAGGCACAAAGCGTCACTGACCGGGTCCGGGGACAAGTCAAAGGACCATCTCGACCTCGACGGCCACGAAAAGCAGTTTTCTGGGTACAGCGCCTTGCACCTTGTCGTCAAGGTGCCCAAGCGGCTGCAGCCGCGGGACTTGGGCGGCGACGCAGCCAAGATCTGGGACGCGACAAATCTTGAGATCCAAGTCGGCACCGTCATCATGCACGCCTGGTCCGAAGTCGAGCATGACATCACGTACAAGACTCGAGACCGCGAGGTGACAAAGGACGAGAAAGGGCTTTTGGACATTCTGAATGGCCTCGCGATTGCGAGCGAGATTGGTCTCCGCAGCTTCCAGTCACCAGAAGATGCGTGGCCGTTTGTTACTGCTCTCAAGGAGCTGCGCAGCTGGCTGCACCAGTTTTACATCCAGAAAAACGAGAGCACCCCCACCGCATGGGTAGACCTGGAATTTGCCTGGGAAGTCTTGATCAAGAGCGAAAAAAATCAGCGCGACCGCTTCGTGTCTCTAGCCAAGTCGGCCTGGAAGGTCCTGACCACATTGGAGGGGGAGCACGGCCACAAGCTTGACCACCTCCTTCCCTATATCATCCTGGACCGGCTCTGCGAGGAAGAAGGCGACAGTACGCTTGACCGCGGCAGCGAGGGAGGAGTCGTCAGGGCGCACAACTTGGCGGTTCAGCTAGTAAACAGTCTGAACCTGGCGCAGAGGATGAGGCACAGGCCGGAGGAGGATGGAGCTCAGTACCAGTCTCACTTGCTGCGCCGTCACTACGAGGACGTGTTGGCCAGGGATGCGTCACTCACTGCAAACATCTCGATGCTCGATGTTTTCGACATACTCCACCCCCATTACCGGCGCTACACACCAGGCTACGAAGCGTCCCTGGCCCGCTTCTGCGAGACACTGCTCGCCAGCGCACCAAGCATCGACGATATCAAAAAGACCCTCGACGCGGAGAGCAGAAATCTGAGTGAGCAGGGCCTCCTCGATAAGGCTGAAGACATGTTGACGATCCGTGTCTTGACGCGGCTCGCGAGATGCCGTTTCACCGCCCGGCCCATAATTGCGAATTCGGAAGAACCAGGGCAGGCCCGCGTCTCGGAAATCATCACCATCCCGGGGGCCTTGGTGTTCGGTCCCTCTCTGCAGTTCAACGACTTGGGCCGGGACGCTAAATTTGACAGGTTCGTGGAGAAGGAGAAGCTACGAATGGAACTACCGACTCTTTCTACGGACCTGCGCAACTTTCTGGACAAATACACAGTGCATCTCATTCCTGTCGACGAGCAGCACAACCAGGGGATCGGAATGTGGCAGGTGGATAGAAGGAACCGGCCGCTCAAGGTACCGCGCAACCAATGCTGGGAGATTATGGGCAAGACGAATTTTCCCCAGCCCTTCAAAACCATCGCTACCAAGGTGGAAGCAGACGAATTGGCGGATTGGCCTGTGGGGTTCAAAGTGACTGCCGGGTTGTTCCGCCGGCTCCGTCTTGAGTACCGTGACGGTGGACCCAAGCCGTTGGAACAGAAGCGTTGGTGGCGGTTGCTGAGGCCCCAAAACCTCCCTGCGGACCCGGCATACGGCAAGGCACCGGCGTCTAGAGGCACGGGAGGTCAGGGATCCGTCGTGCGACTATTGATTGACAAGGGCACTTATGCCAGATTGGTTGACGACAAGGAGCGGACAGTTCTGCTCGAGACCGTCTCGGATAGGCGTAAATCCGCTGCGAGGTTGCTGCTCTACTCGGACAGCACCGATGCTGTCTCATAGGCATGTGTGTGGACAGACGGGGGGCCAATACTTTGCCGATGTATAGCTACGAGGGTATCGAGAAAATGGAAGAGGCACAAATCCTTTTCTTAGAGTTTACAAAGGGAGTAGTAGTTACCTGGGAACCGAAGTACGTAGTCTACAAATGCGAGGCTGTCTCAGAGCTGATGCATGTACATTGAGTCCGGGGGTCTTATGGTTCTGACTGGGTTGTTCTGAGCGGTTATAAACCTGGATTTGAGCAACTGATGGAAAGGAGACATACCCACTTGCCCTTGACTCTGCCGATACACGGCGATCGTGCTGCTGCCTTGGCCAGACTCGGTGGTGCACGGAGGATCTAAGGGAGAAAATGTCGTCAGTAGCCTACTGACCAGCGCAGTCCTGCACTTCATGGCGCTGTTCTCGGGAAAATCGACCTGTCCGGGCAGTATATCAGGGTGCTGCAACAAGCTACAATCTGACCAAGTCAGACAAGAACGGCCTATTGGAACTGCTTACGAGACCGTGACCGAGTGTGCCGCGGTGGACGTTAGATGCCGCAGCAGCGACTCACAGTGGAGAAGAATCAGTCATAATCCTGAGCAGCGCGCGCTGCCTCGATTTCATCCCATCAACTGAGCTCAAGGTGGGGCACCCAGGAAACACAGCGAACTATTCCAACCGCAACAACAAACCTGCTACCGCAAAAATTGTCCTGCTTTCTCTCCTCGGCATCGCGAAAGCTAGATCTCCAACCTCGCCTCTCCAGTGTCACGGCTGCCCTCTTTTCAGGTACGAAACTGCGAAAAGGTACGGGCCCAGATATCAGGTCTCAGCTTCTGCTAACCTAAGCGCCGCGGCCAGCCTTCACGATGATGCGTAAGGACACTCGCGAAGATCGCGCGACTGACCGTAACCAATACCACAACGCGTCGCACAAGAAGAACCGAAACCGGCTCACGAACGTCAGCACCATCCGACGGGACGCCAGACTGGCAGTGGAGGATGGCAACGCGGCGAGCAAGATGGTCACACTCTCCGACAATAACGAGCTCCCCAACCTCGTCTTCTACACAGGCAGCTCGTACCGCAGCAACGAAGACCCAGGCGGCTTCGGAATTGTGTACAAAAGCCTCGACAGCCTGAAGTGCTGCGAGAAGGCCGTGGTGTGGTGCACCAAGGCGTACAACATCGACGACGCACATAGTGCTAACCACATGGAGCTTCTCGCGATGGCCGAGACGCTCGCTATTGCTAAGGAAACGCTGGGGAACACGGTGGGCACCAGTACTCGAGTCTTCACCAGCAGCGGGGCGGTGCAAGACTGGATTTACCACCTCAAGTACCGAGGGGAAGTCAGCGAGAAGGACGATCGTTTCCGCGCCATTGCCGGTCCCATCATGAGAAAGCTTGTCAAAATCTGTCGCAGTCTCGCCAAGGACAACAATCGGGTCGAGATCCATTATCTTCCGCGCGGCCAAGTATGGCCCCAAGCCGAGGCCGACCGCATCGCTGAGCTGGCGTGGCAGTTCCCCGACATGGCATCTGTGCCGAGAACAAAGACGACTCCTCGTGTCGACGTTGCCGTCCGTCTCTCTGCGAAGTTGCCCGACGAGAGAGTCATGGTTAGAGAGGGAGCGATCCCAACTGAGGAGACATCCGCTGGACCTGATGTTGTCACACCACCGAAAAAACGGTCTACGTGGGTCTGGAAGAAGATTGGAAACCTGCCAGGTGCTTGGAGCCGCCTTAAGGACGGAAAGAAGGAGTGAGCGGTGGTCCGTGTGCACGAAGAAGGGAGGGTTTGACATGACAGGTTGATTGTGAGAAGGTCAGAGTATCCGGGCATGTTTGGATCATTTGGTCGGGGGGGAACCAGCAGTTTGTGTAAACCGGAGCGGTCACAAGGGTATCATGGTCAGGTTACAGGAGTACGCGTGGCTTGGAGTCTTTCGGGCTTGTGTTATGTAATTTTTACCTACAATGCACAGATCTGCCTGATGATGCCATGGGTCTAACTTGACGGGACCCACGGGTTCTATCCTGCGTCTCATTGTGGCTTCAGCTTGCCACATCCTGTTGACAATGCTCAACATCCCTTATGATCATAATATGTCCCAAGGGAGGTGTTCTCTATCTATTCACGTGTTAAAACCACCGCAGCGTTCAATTGTCTCAGTGACATCGCTGCCGCGATCTCAGCAACGTCACTGATCTCAGGTATGCCCAAGGCAAATAACTCCAGCTATGATGCTGAGGCTGAGAGCATACAATCTCGATGACATGACTTTACCTCCTCCCACGGTGGTATCGGCGCGACGGCAAACTTGGTATGCCTCTGGGCTCGTGATCAGCGTCAGTAGCAGTGTTGCCAAGGGGCGAAATTGCTTTTATACGGGGCTGAGGCTTGTTTGTTTACAAAGTGGGTCGATCTCAGGGGTGTGTGTTCACCAGTCCCTCCTGGCACATCGGGCACAAGTACACCAACCCTTAAAAAGTTAGGATGATCTGGACTGTCTGGTGCCGCAAGAACCTCAATGGTGATGCAGCTCCCTGACATGTGTTCACGACTTTGAACAATACCGGTCACAATCTTGAGGCCCAAGAGCTGCCCGCCGCCACTGGCCCTATTCGGAAAGAGACCGAGTAACTGGCCCAAAATAGCCTGACAACGGGATGCGAATGTGCTAAAGACGGATGGGCCATCGTAGTTCTGCCAAGAACGTCCCTCGAGATGTAGTATACTTAAACAATGGTGCTTACAAGACAACCTGGAACGCAACAAGATCGCCTAACGAGTGAATCTGCCAGAGAGTTTGACGATAGCGACAAGGTGATGAAGTTTTTCCATTCGAAATCTCGCTAAGGACTACAAACTGTGTTGTAATGTTTTTGGAGGTGGGTACAAGCCTCGACCAACGCATTGCTCCCGTCATTGAGAAGCCCCCCATCTTGACCAAGGGGCACGATGGATAAGATGCGGGGAGCCTTGGGATGGAATAAATGCAGCAGAATGATTGGATGGACAACGGCCGCGCGCACGAGTGGGGATCGCCGAGGCGGCCAACGGGACTACTTGGTGCAGAATTTTGGCACCACTTTTCAAGGTCCTATGGTGTAATGGGCAGCATTTCGGTACATTTGGCTCAGGAGAGGCCTTGCGAGGGCCCCTGAGACAAATGCTGAAGGTCCCAGTTCAATCCTGGGTGGGGTCTTATTTTTTTGCAATTTTTTTTCTCAAGATGGCTTTCCACCGCCTTAACTGACAATCAGATGCAGTCATTGTAAATGGATAGCTGAACGGGCAAGTAACAGGCGCTTTAGCGTTAGTGGAAGTTCCGTTCGGATGTACATGGAGGCTGGCCAGTCTTCCAGGAGTTCGCGGGAATGCCTGAATCACCTCACCTCACAAAGTGTGTCCCAGACCTACGATTCGCGTTGATGAGCCACTGCGATCCATTCCTGAAAGATTCTCTCCATGGCAACCACAGCCCGTACTACCTCCCAGTCCCTTGCCCTAAGAATCCCCCAACCACCCCCAGAAACCTCTCCATCTCCAGCCACGGAAAATGTGAGCTCCTTCCAAACTGCACCCATCGAGCCCTTGCCTGAACACCCATAAAGTATGGCCAAACACATTCATCCCCTGCCTCGTCAAAATACCCGTCAACCAACAGAACGCCGCCAGGAACCGTTCGCTCCGTGACCTTCCCTAACTCTTTGACGACACTGCAACCCTTCGTAATAGCCACCCCCTGGAAAGGACCGTAATCGCACGCAAGCCGTCAATCTTGGAAGCTGGATGTGATTGGGTTCGGCTCTAGGCTCTTGGTATTTCGCCGCCTCCTCGACGCGGGACGGGGTTCTTGCGCGGGCCTACCCTTTCGGCCCATCAAACAGGCTCTCTTCAGGAATGGGCATGGGCTGTTGTTACCACCCACGAGAATCCCTAGGCTTTCGGGAGCGTCGTGCGAGAGGCGTCAGTCTCGACTGTCGCTGTTGATGATTGCGCAGCAAGCAACGGCAGGGCTCGCCACCGACTCTGCACTAAGTCGCCTGCAAATCCCAAACTGCTCAGCGCCACGGCGGCTTGTGTATGGAACAAAAGAGAGTCTTGTATTCTATTCCCATATTGTTCGTAAGACTATTCCTATTGTATCTTTAGGCCTGAGACCCGTCCTCATGCCTTTGTGCAGCCCGTTGGGTTCGCCTTCGTTGGGCCTCCCACTCCGTGAGACGGTCCTGGTAGATCAGACTCCATTTCTTCTCGGCTGGGTACAACAGCATCTGGTTGATCGCGTAGTCGGGGAGATTGTTCCAGCCTCGCTTCCGCATCACTTCGCCAAATAGGTCCTCGATGGCGCGGTTGTCGTCGGGTCGCTCCAATTGTAAGTCGGGCTCCCGCGATTCGGACATCTGCGCTATGTCAGTTAAAACTTTGCACTGCTCGGCGATCATCTCTGTGGGCTCACCTTTGTCAGATATTGTGTATGAATGCTGTCGGCTTCCCCTGGCTGGCTGTCGACGGAACGGGTTTGGCTCAGCGGGCGGTGATGGTGTTTTGTGCCTGAGGACCGTTTGGCGGGGCAGATTGGCAGCAGGGAGCAGGGAGCAGGGGTGCTAGCAGGGGCCGCGTCATGGGTTGGGCGGCAGCCTGCAATCTCGGGCTCAGCGACGATTGGAACGGCGCTATCCGCTTGCGCTGAGCCCCCGCCACAGCAGCTTGATGAAGCTAGCCTGCTGCCTCACCGGTCTTGGGGCGCCCGCGCCTGCTGGCGACCGCCTGGAAGGCAGCAGCAGCCGCATCGCGGGGTCGCCGGCTTGCGAACGGCGGCAACGTCCACATCGGTCTACATAACACCCCAGATTCCTCTTTTCCCGATTCCCAGCTAGACCACACAAGCTCCCAACAACGACTTTTGAACCGGGCGCTGATCATCTTGCGTCTTCTCAAACATGGGCACTCCTCCGCGGACCAAGCGGCGACGGCTTATTGACCGTTTGACGGCGATGCTCCCATCCAGCAAAACGCTCTACCGCTGGATCAGATGGCGCACTGCTCTCCCCACAGGTGCTAGTACCAGCGAAAAGACTACGCTCTCGGCGCAACAGCAAGGACAGCTACCATCAGCATCAGAACCGCCAGCGCCACCACCGCTCCCACCAGTGTCTCGAAATGACCACCCCAAAGCGGACCCTGACGCGCCCGTCGCCCTCATGCTCCCAGGCATGGCCGAGCTGAATATTGGCGTGGTAAACCACCATGATCTGACGACCACATGCCCAAGCGCCCCCAGCAATGCCACCGCCTTTGTCCATAAGCCCTCCAACCAACGGGACCTCCTCCTCACAAAGCTGCCGCTTGATACTCTCGTGTCAATCCTCGAGACACCACAACTTTCACTCTCCGACCTCCTAGCCTTGCGCAACACCTGTCGGACACTGCGACGTACCCTCCCTTACAGAACGATGGAGCAGAAGCTCTCGGTGCAAAACTACGCCGGGTGGCAGGTTGTCTTTGAGATGAACGGACACCGGTATCCGGGAACTACCTACGGGAACAGGCGACTGTGTGGACGGTGTGTTGTGCCAAAGATACGCGGACATCTGATAGAGGGGGCGGAGGTGCGCGAGTATCTCCTTCGACGTCATAACGGTAACGACGCCGCCGATGGAGAGGCGCCCCCGAGTCCTGGAGGGGAGGATGCCGAGAAGATAGAGTGGCCCGAGGATCGTAGCATGTGTTTCCCGTGTTTGTGGACTGTACTGGCTGCCGCACCCGCATCTGGAGGAGAAGCAGGGCAGCAAACCAACATGGAGGGGCACCTGACGACGGTTTCCATGGCAGTCATCTCGAAGCAGGCTGGCATTTCAACCAAGGAGCGGTTTCGGATGCTGGACGGGACCATTCGAAAAATATGTGAGCGATGCGCGAGAGACATTCATGAGAACGCTGTGCCTTGTCCGCACTGCACTGACTTCTCGGAGTGGTGTAGGACAAGGCGTGGTTGAGTTAGCGTTACGTTTCTAGTGCTTCTTGGGTCTGTTGTTCAAAGCAGCTTCGCCCATCCTCAAAATCGTCTGCTCAGGTTTTAGAAATCGCGAGATCAATGTGCTTTTGCAGCCACTGTAATGCAGCAGCGTAGCTTCTAACGCGTAAACTACAAAAACGATGACCCAAGTTCGCCCCCCAAAAAATGGCAAAAAATAAGACCCCACCCAGGATTGAACTGGGACCTTCAGCATTTGTCTCAGGGGCCCTCGCAAGGCCTCGCCTGAGCCAAATGTACCGAAATGCTGCCCATTACACCATAGGACCTTGAAAAGTGGTGCCAAAATTCTGCACCAAGTACCCACCCTGACCGGTGGTGCCCCGGCAGCTGGCCGCACAAAGACAGCAGCCGTCTCCTGGAGCCTTTAAGTCTTCGGCCTCGGCATCATGAAGTTGTTTCGCTGGCTCGCATACCATGGAAGCACTGTAAGAACTTTACGTGCTTTATTTACCTAGGTTGGGGCCCGATCCACGGATGATACTGAGTCTGCCTAGTTCCTTGGATACCAACGCAATTACGTCGCCAGAGCATCCGCCACGCCGAACGCCTCGCATTGCGGAACCCCCATACGGACTTTGTCCAAGCGGTACCACCTGCAGACCACGTGGTCGTTGCCTCGGGGTGCTGGCGCTGCTGCTTGCTTGTACATTACAGAGTATCCTCCTCCGAAAAAGAGACACCTCCTCGTCCAGAGGTGGGTGACGTTGTTGCCATATGCCAGTTCAGTAAAGAATTACCACCAAATTACCATGCAATGTGACCATCACCAAAGTCACGCCGGAACTGCCCACTTTCAAGTACAAAACGAAAAGACACCACTTTATCCAACATCTCTGCTCCTCGGACTGTCTCGCTGTTGATAGGCATGCACACTTGACGGCGACGAAAGATTACCCGTGACCTAACAGCCGGGCTCCAGTGACACAGAAATCATGAGCGACACAGCAACTTAGCCGGCGATGATATCATGGCTTGCCGAAACGGCGCCCTTCATCAATTGCTAACCGGGAAACAGACAAACTGGCGCGTGAATATACCCGGATTGGGCTACTGCCCCATGAGGTCATTAATCTCTGACAATAAACGCCAATATCAACCCCGTGCTCATCAGTCCAAGACAGGGAGCTTTCCAAGTATAAGAGCGACGATCGAACCCCTACTGACGGGCCGGGCTCGCTCAGATCACCGTCATCCCTGCCATCAATCACTACCTACCAGACACCTTGATCGCTCAGCATGAAGACCGCGTTATCCCTCATCCTTCTCGCCCCTGGCATCCTCGCCGCTCCAGCATGGTGAGGCTCCCCTCCGACCCTTTCTATGAATCGCATTGGCTAATATGACGTAGGGACCCCTGGGTTGATCCCCTTCCCGCCCCCTGTGGACGCTCCATCCCGTCGGGTCGCTGCACGACTGAAGCGACATGCATTGACAAGGGAGGCTTCTACGTTGGTAGGGATTGCGACTTCTATGGTGGTGTTCAAGATATCGGGTGTTGTTATGACATCCCAAGCACTGGCGCAGGGCCAAACGCCAACACGGAGGTGAGTCTTGCGATGGAAACGTGAGCTTCTCTGACTGACGGGTACAGCTTAACTAGAAACATATGACGAAGGGCCCTCTGGGACCGGCCAGGGAGTATACGTAATGGATCAAGGGTGGATATGGCGATTGGTGGCCAAGGGAGACATTTCCTGTTCGTTTGAATTATAGCTAGTACCAATTCCATGTCAATATTTGGTGAAGGAGAGGGAATGTCCATGCCGCGACCAGTCATTCACCAGGCCTAGCATGACTATGCCGTGCCCAATCCTCATGGGGGGATGGTTTGTGACTAGGGTGATGGCTTTGAAGTGGTGGCTGCAGCAAACATGGGAATTAGCATGGAGTCAGATCGTCACACTTGTCAGCCAGCCACGAGCATGCAGAGAAATCTTCTCGATATATATATACCATATATCCTGCCTGCCCTCACAAGTTTCAAAACTTGCCCGTTGTTATTATTATTGGCTGGACATATATATTGCTTTCACTTATCTAAACCAAGCCACACCGAAACAAACCCTCCAGAACTGGCGTGAAATGAAGACAAGAAATGTCCAACTTGTCTTCTTTGTCGATGGATCTACGGGCACAATGGGGGAAGGATGGCGTTAGTATTT